ATCGAATGGAAGTCTGTTAGGACTTCACTTGTGACTCTTCTGGAGACTTAACACACTTGAGCTGTCAGCTCATTTCCATCACTTTGAGTGCAGTATCTCATGTGTGTTGCATGAAAGTTGACCACCTATTTTCTCCACATATACTGTATTTGGGTTAGCATCGATTGTGAGGCTGTGCATAGGAAGTGCAGGGAACCCTTTTCCCTTATTTGAACTGCAGAGTCAATTCTTCACCAAAATTGCTAATACAGCAACTCGCTTTGTTTTTAAAACTAAAATAAATATCACGCTATCAATGAAAGGTGCAATATAAATGTAAAATTGTATTGTATCTCTACAGATGTCTTTAATGATGATGCAGTTTCCGACTTTGAGAAAATGCAACGATTTATTAGTAGCTCAGCAGTCTAGCAGTCGTTAGATTTGCAAACCTGTTCGCCACATTCCCCAGTCGATGTCTTGAGAATAAAGTGTGATACATTTTGCTGCACACTTGCGAAGCATTAACCTTTGAATAGATTTGCTGTGATTGTTGCTATGGAACTGGGAACTGTGAAGTTTATGACGAATGATTGGAGATTCTCAGTTAAGAAGCTTGCGATTACCTGAGATGTTTTGTACTTGCAGGTTCCACATTTGTTGATTTCATTTTTTACCAATACAATTCAGTTCACAGCAAAACAAATTGATACAAGCAGCAATTCCCTGTCAATTTGACCCTCTGAAACAAAGGCACTGAAATTATTTTGGATCTCGCTCACAAATTGATCAATGTAAATTCATGTTCAATAATAACATGATAAAATTGTGCTCAGTTACGTCCAGATCACTGAATAATAATAAAAATAATAATCCTTTTATTTGATATGGCACATTTCATGTCGATAAGATGTTTCAAAGTACTTCACAGGATTTACTGCAAAGTGCACTGGATTATGAGTTCAAAGACCCAAAGAGGGATTTGAAACACAGGAATATTAATCCTTGCATTTGACATCATGATCCACCCGTAGCAAATTCAGTCATTCAACTGGAAGCTGGGCGAAACAATTCAAAATTACCCCTCTGTCAGACAGAAATGAACTACCTGACCCATGCAAATGAGTCTATCTCTGCTGGTTATCTCCACTGGTAGTTAAAAACATCAAACAGCAACTGATCACAAAATCATATTTGACAGCAAGACAGGAATTGTAGATTCTAGTCAAGTTGAATGTGATACAAAATTAAAATTACTCTTGTTTTACTAACAGTTGATTGGATTTTCAGTAAAAGAAAACATGTCCAAAATGATTTACTGCCGACTTCTTCATTGAACTCTCCCTTTAGTCATGCTCACTTCCTTGTTCCCTGGAGGCCACTATGTCAGCAGAAACAGAAGTGTCCCTTCTCTTTGGAAAGAGCAAAGTCACTGTAGGGATGTCAAGAAGAGCTGATTCTGTTCTGTTTCCCTTCATAGAGATTTGTTTTATAACAAGACTTTCATTTACAAGCCTGTACATGTCATTAAACTGCATCTGCCCGTCCAACCCAGTCACCATGCTTGGAAAAGTGACATTACTTCTTGAAGCAGTCCCTTCCTTTATCTATATTACTGTTGGGTGGGACCCCCTGTGTAGGTTTTATAATGCTTTCACTCTACCATTTCATCCTCATCTGTCTATCCCAGTTGGTTGCACTCTCTCCCCTGGGTCAGAAGGTTATGGGTTGAAGCCCACATCATGACCTTGTTTGCCTATGACATTTATCAGTAATTGGTTGTGATGTGCTTTGAGACATTTTAATGAGAGGAGGCACTGTAGTTTTTCTTTTGTTCATCGGGAGGTTACCTCTGCCTCCCTGAATCTGACTGTGTGCTGCCTGCAGAGGTTTGCTATTCTCTCTCACTCTACATGTACTATTTCTCTAAGGTTTTATGGAGCCACTGCATTCTAATGAATATTCAAATGAGGCTTTATATCCACAGTAGACAGTCTGTGCTAAAAGTCTTCAATGCAGGGGATATGCCAATTGCATTGCAAAACTGTGTTTTCATTACAAAACACCTAACAATTTCTATACCTGGAGGATAATTAACAACTGGAACAGGTTGTCAGGAAGGGTGGTTGAGGCCAGGACACTAGGACTCATTTAAAAATCAGCTTGATGTTCCAACTGAGGGTTGATAGGGTGGGTGATCTGGAAGGATGACATTGGATAGGCCTTCTTTATCCAAACCAATTTTGTGATCTTGTGTTTTACATTTAAATGTGACATTTCAGCCAAATGTGGCGCTGTATGAGTCAGAAGCTGAAATTGGGTTTTAGCTTTTGTATAAGGCAGCGATAACTGGCAAAAGGGAATAGGCAGGCTGAAGTTCGGAATAGTTCAGGGAATAGATTAAATCATCTATGGCATGGATAAGGACACCAATTGGACAACCCTGTTCTGATTCTCCAATGCAGGGCTATGTGCATTGCTATTCTTCCAATGACATATTAGATTGAGGTCCTGTTTGCCTGTTTAGGTGGAGATCAAAGATTCCAAGACACTATTTATAAAGAGAAAGGATTTTCTCCTCAAGTCCTGGCCATTAATTCTCCAGATAAAATAGGTCATTCATTTCATGAGTGGTTGTGAGATATTGTTTGCCAATTTAAATGCACGTTCGCACTGTATAAAATGCAAGGATTATAATTATTTGAAACTGAAACATTTACAATATCCAAAATTGCCTTGTAAGGGAATTTTCTACAAAAAGAGAAAGTTAAACTTGTGGTTGTGAATAAACAATTGGGACCAGGAGTCACTAACTAATGTATACTATATCAACTCTTTTCATTGGCCATGTATTCAATATGGAACACTGTTCACATGTCACCAGTTTTAAGTTACACAAAGTACAAGCAATTAAGAGCTGCTGTATTTCCATCTCCATTAGCAATTAAAACACATTTGCCTACACAACATAAACATTACCGCTTACAGTAAATCTAGTCAAGCGTTTCTGATGTGAAAGGTGCTATGTCAAATGGAAAGGATGATCATTATTGTTATTAAAACTCAATCAACTGTAGGAAATAATCCAAAGCGGGGAATCTGCTTCATTTGAAAATAAACACACTTAAAATGACCATGTTAGTCAGTTTATGTATTACCGATTTAAGCTTTTTATCATTAAGAAAAAAGTCCTCCAGGATTTGAAGGAATGAATCGTCCCTATCACATTTCAGATTCGTTGTTAAGACCTTTACAAAATTGATATTTCAACTTTAATCAACTTGATGCTATTTTGTGGTATTTTGTGATCTCTTCGAATCCTTCACTGAATTACTGCTATGGTTGAATGATATCTTGGTACCAATGCACCATTGCACCAATGCAATATTAATGCAACTTCATCAATTTCAACCAATCTTGATTTCCCTGGATGGAAAACCTATATTCTGCCAACTTTGAATTCGTGTTGCAAATTCCAAATTGTAATGGGGTTCAGTTAAGTGTATAAGCTTAATGTTAAGCACATTAGAATCTAAAATAACTACAATTGAAATTAGGGTCTTTGATTAAATAAAACATATTCATAACATAACATATTCCTCAAGTTATTTGCAATTTATGAAACAAATTTGTTACACCACAAATGTTACCTCTTGTTTCAATATCTGTCAGAATACAGGGAATGCATGCCATTTTCCTGCATCTCAAGGCATGATGCTTGAACTCTGATGGGCTTTGGCTCTGTGTTGAGCACTGCAATATAGGTAGCACCCCTCTGTGCTCTGTACAGTACTTTTGTGAATCATTTCTAAATGCATAGCTTGGATGCTGATGTTAATACAGCATTTATGTAGATGGTATCATTTCTCCATTGCAGTTGAAACAAGTGAAAGCGTTGGGATCTAATTTGCAATACTTCTTAAAAACTTTCTTGATAAGATACAAAGCAAAGTGTGGGGTATTCCTAAACATGTTCCATTCCTTTAATTGCTGCCGGGGTTAAATATAGTATGAAATTACTGTATTACTATAAAATATTATTGTATGAAATTTGCAGTGAAAAGTTATCAATATTGTCGGCCTTAAACTATCACATTCGTAAAGTTGTTGTAATGCCTCGAATAGCAAAATACAAAGCCAATGAAGCGCTTTGAGACGTCTCAACGATGTGATAAGATTATTATAAATTATTATTATTATTTAACCTTTCTGCATATGTGGAACTCTCAAGTCTGATTTCAATAGTTTTAAGCATGGCGATGGGCTTCAGATGTCTCGCTAACCAAAGAAAACCTCCCTAAGATACTAGGCAGATGGTAATGGTGATATTTTTGTGGTTGAGACTGAGGCCTCAAGCCGAGGCTTTTTGATTGGTAAAAGGTGATTTTTGGCACAGATTTCACCTCTACTTATCAAACCTGGAAAATCAACATTAAAGAATAAAAACAAGTAAGACTTTAAAAACAATGGTTTAGAATAAAACAAAACCCATGGAGGACAGCTGGGTATGAAAATAAGCAATCCATTTATTGGGAGAATAGTGAACATGGTAACTTTACCCTGTAAACAATCGATAAATTAGTGCAATTCACAAGCGTAATGAAGTGTAGTTATCATTGTTAAATTCAAATGAATTGGCTGCCCATCTCACTGTTTATAGGATATTGCTGCCATAGATTCGCTGCCATATTTGTCTCTATAACAACATTCGCTTTTTATTTTTAAAAAGGTACTATATAAATGCAAGTTGTTATTTATTGTTATTAAATATGATTGCATTTGAACTTTCATTTGAATCAAAATCTGAAAACAACAACAACTTGCATTTATATAGAACCCTTTATACGGAATAGTACTTAAGCTTAAGCCTAAGTCTTGGATTTTGATGATACACCATTAGATTGCTTGAATTGTGATGAGTGAGCAATTTCACTTATGGGTGTTGTAGAGAGAAGGTCATAAAGATGGTGCTTAAGAAATCAAAGATTGGTGCTTAGTAAAAGACTCTCTCTTTCTTACAGGGGAAAGCTACGTTTGTTCCTCCAATGAGGCATTTCGCAAGGTAGACTATGCCAAGAATGTCAATCCAAACTGGTCAGTTAATATCAAGACCGGATCGTCCCGCTCTCTCTCATCACTGTCTTCAGGGAAAGGTGAAGGAAGAGAAAACAAGGATTTTATCAGGCCCAAGCTGGTGACTGTTATCCGAAGTGGCGTGAAGCCACGGAAAGCAGTGAGGGTTCTTCTAAATAAGAAAACAGCTCATTCATTCGATCAAGTCTTAACTGACATCACAGATGCCATAAAGCTGGATTCTGGAGCAGTCCGAAGGCTTTACACACTGGATGGAAAACAGGTAGGACAACAGTTCTTCTCTGCTAACATTCCCCCTCCTCCCTTGCTTTGTGTCCTGGTCATATTTGTGAAGCTGTCCGACACATTATTCTTGAAATTACCCTCAGTGGACTGGATAAAGGAGTCACGTCCACATTTTCTTGACTGTTGAGCATGGCTAACTTGATGACAGCAGCAAGAGCTTGAAAGTGCAAGCTTCCTAAATATGATGTTCTCTCCAGGCTTCTCTCGTTCCTGTTGACATGAAGTGTGTATGTAGCTGGCTTTCCCTCTACTGTACAGCAAGCAGCAGAAGCAGTATCTGGGTACCAGACTGATGCGCCCAGGTTAATATATCACCTCCAAGTTCTAATCCTGGTTCCTCTCTGCACTCCCTCTCCTCCTTTGCTTGGTGTACTTGGCTTCTTTGTGAAGCAGTTCGAGACGTTACACTGTGTGAAGAGGTGCTCTATTAAGTGCACGTTGTTGTTGAAGATAGCCTCGTTCATTGTTGATGAAGAAAAATTGAACTGTGAGGCCAAAACGATTTGATTTTGTTACCAAAAAGTCTTTCATTATGGTTTTCACTTGAGGTGCTGCTTTTCACATGTGCTTCACGCAGTCCTCACCAGTTGTGAGAATCTTCTCAGAGAGTGAAGCAAGGCAGTGATGAGTCATCCTGGTTTATTATTTAGTTTTCTCCAGATATCTGTTTTGTACTCATTTGTTTGGAAACCGTTGATGCTCATGACCACCTTTGTGGGAGTTTGCATTGATAGGAATAATTGTCAGGACTGAAGCCTTTCTAACCTTGTTTTCCTTTGTTCAGGTTGTAGCATGTGAGTTGGGTTTTGACCAATTCTCTGAGTTTACTGACTGACTTTTATTACATTTCTCATTTTATTTGTTGCGTTTCCTTTGTGAAATCGTGATTTCTGGTGGCAATCAATAGCTGAAAAGACGGCAAGGAAATTAAAATACTTGTTTGCAGCTCAATACTTTTTAGATTTTGAAGATATAAGAAAACAAGTTCCGATTCGGACTCATCGTAGCTGTAAACACCAAGTTCCCAAGTTTTTCCCGGTTTCCAGTGCTATTGGCCATTCGTCGTCAAGAGGGACGAATACAATTTCACTTAATGAGAGAGAGAGATCATACCCCCTGCCCCAATCGCATATGAAGGTGGCTTGGACTCTCATTTCAAATTCCCTCTTGGTCTGTCCTCTTACTCCTCCAGTTCCTTCTCTCTCCATGAACACCTCCCTCTTTACCATGCTCCATTTTACCCTCTCGCACTCTGCTTTCAACACCCACCTAAAGACCTATCTCTTTGACTGCGATTTTGGCCATCTCTCTCCTCCCCACCGCCACTCCTCCTGTCACCCTCCTAGCTCGGGCTCCGAGTCGATCTTAGTAAAACGCTTTGGACATTCTCCTTATGGGAAAGAGATATAGAACTAAAAATTGTCATCCTTAAAACCTAGCGTCCTGAACAATAAATTTAAAACAGATTCAGAATGTGCTCCTTTTCCTTTTAGTGACTGAGGACAACAGCAAATTGCATTATTTAGTGCCTTTCACGTCAGGATGACGTCCCAAGGACATTATTCCCTTCCGTAGGGGCTAGTGATTTGATGCTGGTTCACCAGATACCAGTTTGATCCTAAAGGTTGATTCACTGTCAGTTTTCTGGCATTCCCAAGGGAAATTGAGGGGAGGTGCTGTGGTCTGTGGTCTTTTATTAAAAATCAGTTGTTTCATGGTTGTTTGTGGGACATTGCTGTGTGCAGTTGGCTGCTACGTTTGCCTATGAATACACAGTCACTGCATTTCATAATATTTCCTGTGAAGTGCTTTGAGACATCCTTAGTGCGTGATAAGGTGCTATACCAAATGCATGGATTACTATTATTATTATATTAAATGTAGCGTCACTAGGCCTAACTGCAGTGCTGCCTCTTTCAAACAAGTAATACTGTTCAGCCCGAGGTCAGGCTGCAGGAAATCCTCACAGGATGTTTGGAAATGCTAACGTCATCAGAGATTTACCTCAGCACAACAGCCAGCTCCTGATCCCCTGACTGCTGGCCCGTCCTGTTCTGCACCTCGTCCTTACTGCCGAGTCATGCCTGCCCTGGGTTTCTCAAGGTTTTGGTGCAGAATGTAGTTAAACTCCACGGAAATGTCAATACCAAATATTGTGGTTTTTCTTCCCTTTTTTTTATCTTCAGCCTCCTGTAGTAATGTTTTTAATTCCATTCAGCCTTAAACACTGCTGCTTTTTATCCTGTACGGCGATCAATGGAAATAATCCAGTCTTGTAAATAGCATATAGGCTGTTTATTGTCATTCTAATGCAGACTGCAGCATCGCACTGTTGGTTCCCACTAGATCAGTGCCTTGGGATATCCTCCTGATGTGAAATACACTATATAAATATAAATGCAATTTGTTGTTGTTGTGTCTCTTTCTATCAAACTCTGTCTCTATTATTACCTCTATTACTGCTTTTGTCGCTAGCTTTCTCTCTCTCTCTCTCTCTCGCTCTCTCTCTCTCTTTCTCTCTCCTGAATACAGAAGTGTTTCATGGATATTTGTATTCTGTGCACAATAGCTAGGAGTTGCTGAGGGAATATATCAGGATTAACCATGTGTGCCTTCCAGATGCTCTTCATGCCTTGTGCCGTGGCAAACAGAATGCAGAAAGCATGGCGGCTCACAGTACAACTAACACAAACTGCGCATGTTTGTAAAATTACCTGACAATGCATAATTAACCACTAACGGAAAAGAAATGAAGTGTTAAACATCTGAATCAGTTCTTCAAAAATACATTAATCATTGATTAATGAACACCTGCTTCTCCATTAACTCGCAGCACAATTCATCGGATTAAGAAATGAAATGTGAGTGTTAACTCACGGGTATGTTACATGGATCACTAATAGGCCCTTCATCAATGTATCATGCGTTGTGCAGCTTTTCATGATGAAGCAATCCTAAATGAGGTAAAATTATAGCCGGTCCTAGTGAATGTCCTAGATATTGTAAGTTAAACCAGAGGTGGGGTGAAGCACTGAACTGACCCATTTTGTTGGTCAGCGTTTTGTTGCAGTGAATTTCATGCTCCAATTAATGATATCAGTGCCTTCGGACGTCTTCCTGACGTGAAAGGTGCGCTACAAATTTGTTGTTGTTATTGCCAGGAAATGGAACTCTTTTCCTTTCGGGGCACCTGTGCCAACATTAAGAGTTCCTAGTAGATAATAACAATAATAATCCTTATAGTGCGTGTTATAGTGCCTTATTAAGTCGTTGAGACATCTCAAAGCACTTTACAGAATAAGTCAAGGGTACCAATATGTTACCAGCTATTTTATTCTGTTGGAGCCAATGAGCTTGTTTCTCCTGACCGCTCCTCTCCCCCTCCCCCCATCTCATTCTGACTGTAAGGAACCCTTGGTTTTAGTTGCAAATTTCTTTGTGTGTGCTGCATGCAAAACAGCTTTGCTTTCGGCTACAAAATGGATTGCTAACTGGAAATAAAATTAACTGATAAAACTGGTTAAGTTTTTATATAGTGTTCACAATGACACTGGAGTGTCATCAGTTCTTCAATGACACAATGATACGTGCGGTCTGAAGCACTGACCTTCTCAACTCAAGTTCTGGGTATTGAAATCAACCACAGCATGACCGGATTTGTATTGTAACAGATGGCATCGAGTTCAACACGTCATCACCTGATGCGGAATTGAATGGATGAATCCAAGACCACATTTGTACTGTACTCCTCTTATAAAAAAATATTGGTATGGAAAAGACCTGAAAAGACTATTGTGATCCATCTAGGTAGTCCCAAGGCTTAAAAAATATATATGCTGCACCAGTATCTCTAAAGGACCATTACAATGTAAAGTGCAATGACTGTATTTTTGCGGGTGAATGTAGCAGCAAATTTGTGCACAAAAATGTCTCACAAACAGCCGTTAAATAAATGATGGATATATAGATGTTCCAAAAGAAATCAGGATTTTCACCAAATTGTAAATGTTTTTATTTATGTTAAATTTCTCTTCCCGCACCCCAATTTCCTGCCATTATTTGACAGAAAAAATAGATCTTCCAAATCCTGAGGTTTTGATTTTGTGAATAAAAATTTAATTTAATGGTCCTGATGAATCTTTTATCTTCTAAATCAAAATAGCGAATGGCTCTAATCCATCTTCAACTTGCTGACACCATATGCCTCCATGACCTCTCTGGGTTGTCTATTCCAAATATTCTCCGCTGTTTGTGTAAAGTTATTGAAACTGAACTGTCTGTTCGGCTTCCTTTTTGAGCTGACATCTGTCACTCAAGGATATGGGTGGTGCAATTTTGAATTGATTTAATTTTATGAAGGGCTGGGGAGACTGGCAAGGTGGGCATTAGAAAAATTGAGGCAGGAGGTGGCGAACGCGTGGATAAGGTCTTCAGTAGCATTGGATGTGAGGTACGGTCAGAGGTAGGCAATGTGGCAGAGGTGGAGCAAAGTAGTCCTGGTCAGGGACCAGATATGGGGTAGAAAGGACAGGTGGGAACCAACCTGATGCCTCGAATGTGCTCAGTAAGTCTGAGGGATAGGCTGGGAGGTTAATAAGGTTGGAGTCGCAGGTGAGAGGGCTTCCGTCTTGTCAAGATTCAGCTGTAGAAAGTTGGCGTTCATCCAGGCTTTGTTATCTGACAGGCAGGCAGACAAAACATTGTGGACCAGGAGTCATGGCTAAAGTAGATTTTGGTGTCATCTGCAAACATCTGGAAGTTGACCCCATGTCTCAATCACTGAAAGGAAGCATGTAAATGAGAAAAAGGAGGGGTCGAAGGATGGGATCTTGGGTGACCACGTGGGGGTAAGAAGAGAAACTGGAAACTGGAGACCTTGCTGATTCAAGTCCTACTTGAGTCAATGATAAGTGATAGCAATGAGTCAAGTAGGACTTGAACAGTCCCTCTGAGGGAGGAGAGATGGTCAAGGAGAAT